GCTGACATCCTTGTCTATGTCAGATATGAGGATGAGGAACAAGATGGGAGCGAGTACTGTGCCTTGTGGAACAGCTTTTCACCGTAGCCGCCTCAGACTTTGCTCTGTTGATTACTACTCTTTGTGTTCTGTTTGTGAGGAAATTATAGATCCATCTACCAACTTTTCCTGTTATTCCTTTAGCACGCATTTTGTGAGCTATTACGCCATGGTCACACTTGTCGAAGGCTTTTGCAAAGTCTGTATATATTACATCTGCATTCTTTTTGTCTTCTAGTGCATCTAGGACCTTGTCGTAGTGATCCAATAGTTGAGACAGACAGGAGCGACCTGTTCTAAACCCATGTTGCCCTGGGTTATGTAATTGATTGGTATCTAGATGGGTGGTGATCTTGCTTCTTAGGACCCTTTCAAAGATTTTTATGATATGGGATGTTAGTGCTATCGGTCAGTAGTTCTTTGCTATTGATTACTGCCCCTTTTGTGGAGTGGGGCTATGTCTGTTGTTTTAGTATCTGTGGGACGACCCCCGTGTCCATGCTCCCTCTCCATAGGATGGTAAAAGCTCATGATAGGGGCTTCTTGCAGTTCTTGATGAACACGGAGTTCCATGAGTCTGGCCCTGGGGCAGAGTGCATGGGCATGTCATTTATCGCCTGTTCGAAGTCATTTGGGGTCAGGATAACATCAGATAGGCTTGTGTTAACCAAATTCTGTGGCTCTCTCATAAAAAATTAATTTTGATCTTCGACTCTCAGTCTGGTTAGCGGCTTGGTAAAAACTGAGTCATATTGGGACTTGAGTAGCTCACTCATTTCCTTGTTGTCATCTGTGTAGGACCCATCTTGTTTAAGTAGGGGCCCAATACTGGACGTTGTTCTCGACTTTGATTTGGCATAGGAAAAGAAATACTTTGGGTTTCTTTCGATTTCATTTATGGCTTTTAGCTCTTCCCGCGATTCCTGACTCCTATAAGATTCCTTTAGCTTAAGTTCGATGTTTTCTATTTCTCTGACCAGTGACTCCCTACGCATTTCAGATATATTGGCCTCTTTTATCCGCTGTGTTATTCTTTTTCGTCGCCTGTAAAGGGAGCGCCTGTCTCTTTCTATTTAACATCTACTCCTCCTTTTTCTTAAAGGAATAAGCCTTGAGCATACATCGAGATCCACCGAGTTAATCTGTTCTAGGCATAAGTTGGGGTTTGTGTTGCTTAGTCTATCTTCCCAGGTTATATCTGTTAGGACTTGGTTTACTTGGTCCCACTTTATGTTCTTATTATTGAAGTTGAATTTGGTGAAGGCTCCCTCATGACTAATCTCATTATGTCGGTCTGGAGCTCCGCGCATACATGTCTGAACCTCGATTATGTTGTGATCTGAGTATATTGTTTTTGATATGGTGACATTTCGTATCAGATCATCATTGTTAGTGAAGATGAGGTCTAGTGTATTCTCCAGTCTAGTAGGCTCTATTATTTGCTAGTTTAAGTTGAATTTTGTGCAGAGATTTAAAAGCTCGTGTGTGTGTGTGAGTTCTCGTCAGAGATGCCTCCTGGTGTTATCACTGCAACAACATTATTTGCTATATTCCTCCATTTTAGGTGCCTTAATCAGTTCTGTGCAAACAAGTGACTCTGCGATATACAGGCTAACCCCTTCCCCTTTTGCCTGTTCACTCTGTCGCATCTGTATAGGTTGTAACCTGGGATCCATATTTCGTTGTCCAAGTGATCCTTTATGTGGGTCTCTGTGAAAGCAGCGAACATTGCCTTTGCCTCTGCAAGCAGTCCACGGATGAAAGGTATTTTGTTGTTTGTTGCTGGCTTTATACCCTGCATATTTGCAAAGAAGAATGTCATCGGACTGGTGGTATTGGTGGTACTGGGGGGACTTTTTTTTCCGTCATTAGTATCTGTATCTGTTGGTTTGGAGTGGAGGCCATCGACTGTGGTTCCACTCCAGGAATGACTGGATTTGGCGTACGATTTCTGCCATTTCCTGCCAGTTTTTTTTCCTTCCTGGTACTAAAAAATCTCTCCCTCTTGAGTGGCTGTGGCTACCCAGGTTTTCCCATGGCCTGGATGTTTTGTATCTTTTTGTCCCCTTTAGATGGTGTGTCTGGCAATTTAAGTTATAGCACAGTCTTTCCTGTACTGAAGAGGGACATATTTCAGGGTGAAAAAGCTTACAGGAAGGGAGTTTGCATTTTCCTGTTGTCATATGGGCATGGCATTATCTAGGGTTGTCAAAGTTGCACGTCCCATCTGTTTTTCCAGATTTCCCATGCCTGCAGATGCCAAGTGCATAGTATGTGCACAGGCTTGGTTTCCGTTTGCCTTGGGTTTCTGTGACTGTATTCCCTGTTGGTGCATGTTTACCTGTCTCATTCCTATCCTCACTAGTACTAACAATGGGGCTCTCACCAGTTGTTTTTGGTGATGTATCCTCACTAATGCTAGTGGAGTCCCCTTGTTCGCTATCTCCTGTGGTATTACTAGTTTGTAATATTGGTTTTATCTTGTCTTTGACTACACCTGTTTCCTCACTACAGCTCCTGTCTCCCTCGGGGTCATTTATATGCATTCCCTCATGCGTACATTTACTGACTACCTGGACAGCACCTCCATCTTCACCATTACTGTCTCCCAGGACAGCACCTCCAGCTTCACCATTGCTGTCTCCCAGGACAGCACCTCCATCCTCACCATTACTGTCTCCCAGGACAGCACCTTCAGCTTCACCATTACTGTCTCCCAGGACAGCACCTCCAGCTTCACCATTGCTGTCTCCCAGGACAGCACCTCCATCCTCACCATTACTGTCTCCCAGTACAGCACCTCCAGCTTCACCATTACTGTCTCCCAGGACAGCATTATCAGCCACACATTTACTGACTACCAGGGCAGCACCTCCAGCCTTACAGTTTCTGACTACATGGCCAGCACCAAGGGCAGTACCATCCAGCCCAGACTTTTTATTTTCCCATCTGTTATAGAATGCTTCCAGGTTTTCTATGAAAGCTGCTTTGATGTTATCCTCTTTTAATACCAATGTGATTTTAGTCCACAGATTGATCTCATTTGGGCATACCCAAAAACACTTCCCTGATTTAATACTGCTTGTAGATAGTTCTTGGATATCTGCACAAGGGGCGTGACACCAATTTTCACAAAAATGGCAATTTATCCATGCGGAAGCCCGTTTGTTTGATTGACTGCTGACTACACAGAGCTTCATAATGTGATTTGAATGGTTGATTTACTGTAATTCTACTAGCAACCTCTTGAATATTCTACTAATAACCTCCTTAAAGTGAAACTCTAGCTATTTGTATTTCTATTTCTAAATGTACTTGTATATTAGGACAGCTTACCGGTGTACGTTCCTGTTTTATATTTATTGTTTGTGTTTGATAAGGGCACCTAAAACCCCGTCTGTTTACAGTCTGCTTTATTGTCCAACGAATCCGTTTGAAACCGGTCAATGGTTCGGACCAATCAAGGGTTCGGAACCAGTCAAGGGTTCGGAACCAGTCGGATCTGATCAGTGGGTCACTTATTTAAAACATACTGGTCGGTGATTTGGCTATCACATGAAGGAATTACTGGAAATTATTTAACCGAGTAATATGTGATTTGATTGATACAAAAGTATAACTTGCGTGTTGAAGAACCGGTGATTGCTGGCAGCTCCTACAATGACGAACGGTCGAGGTCTCAACCCTTGTTTATAGATCACTGTATCTAGCTTTTCTAGATTTTTTCTGTCTCCACCACAACAAATGCTATATTATCACTATAGTTGACTGGTTCAATTATTGGAGGAAAGACGCTTTTTTTGCAGTAATATTTGCTTCTCGTTGTGTATGCTGGGAGGCAGTTGAACAGTCCTGGGTCCTTGACACTTATTGTGTCAGCATAGTTGCTAATCCCCTGTATATGTTGTGTAACATAGCTGAGTATCACAGTACCATCTATATGTATTATATAGATGACCCCTTGCTAAACTTAGCGGCTAACATGTGACGTCACACAGTGCTGCTTGTGGGCGGGAGTCATCCTGTCCCTTTCTCAGTTCATGGATAGACCTACAGGCTGCGACAGGCTAGGCTGGGCTCCCCTCACAACTCTGCTAATATAAGTGAATACAACCCAACAAGTGTGTTTATCTCCAACCATCATATCTCCATGGAACCCTCTCAACAATTGTGTTGTCTTCTAGTATACTCGTGGCGCCCGTGCTTTTCATTGGAAAGATGTTGCATCTCCTGCCGAGTCTTTTGCTTTCGTAGGGAGTGATTTACATGCGCAGATTTGGTACTAATCCCGCTAGGATTTTCCAAGTGTATATTATAATGTATCTTCCTCTCCTGCATTCCAAGGAATACAAGTCAAGGGACTTCAACCGTTCCCAGTACTTCAGGTGCTTTATCGTACTTATGTGTGCCATGAAGGTTCTCTGTACATTCTCCAGATCAGCAATTTCACCTGAATTGAAAGGGGCCGTTAGTGTACAGCAATATTCCAGCCTAGAGAGAACATGCGATTTGAAGAGAATCATCATGGGCTTGGCATTTCTAGTTTTGAAAGTTCTCATTATCCATATTTTCTTAGCTGATGTGTTAGATACATTGTTGTGTTCTTTGAAAGTGAGATCCTTTGACATTATCACTCCCAGGTCCTTCACATTATTTTCCGCTCTATTGTGTGGTTGGAATTTGTTTTATACCCGTATAGTTTTCATGAACCCGGGCACTGTGTTCGTGAACCCGGGTACCGTGTTCCTGAACCCAGGTCCTGTGAATGTGAACCCGGAATGTGTCATCCTATGCTCGGATTAGCTGGGCATGAAACAGGTTCGCTTGACCGTGAGGCTGGAACCCAGACCTGTTTGATGTTGTGAAAGCCTGGGTTACAAAAACAAGTTTTTCAAGGTGTCGCGAGAGACAGAGAGATGTGTGGGTATGAAGGTCATCGCTAGCTCCTTATTCCTGTCTAGGCACTCATCTGTAACACCTTATTGAGACCAGAGACTCAGTTGTCGCAGAAACTCTGACACAAACTAGTAGAGAGAGAGAGTGCTAGCTCTCATATTTGCATTAGCTCTCAGATATGCGACTTTACTAATGCTGAGAGACCGTCACAGCGTAGAAATTTAGTGTTGTTACTTGCAGGACCTAGAAAGAGAGTATGCTTGTGTTTTCCCTTTCGCGTGAGTCAACGAAAACTCTCACTTTTTTTGGGCGTAGAGAGGAGCGAAATCAAAGAGAACACTTATCTTTGATACCGAAAGGACCACACCTAAGGAGGATATACGTTTGTGTCGAAGAAAGGACCACTATCTCATGACTCACTCTTCCGGGAGTGTGGAAACTCACCTTGTTAAGGTGGGGTTATGAAGTCTCAGTGATGGGAGGCTGGTCACCCACCACCCTGCCAGGCACGCTCACACAACCTTCACGCACCGTAACCACTTCACTCGTGAGATTCTGCCACCAGAGGATAACAGAAGTGTGACATAATGAGACTACAGTGTTCCAGTGAACCTAGTAAGGTGTTCTAAAGGAAGACACTGGTGAAATCGGTACATTATTAAAGTGTTCAGGCACAGTGTATTAGGGGAAACCAAATTATCAGTAGGAACGTTAAATGTTTTTTGGGGGAAAAGATATCAATTAAATCAAGGTAATAATACGATAATTGATTGTTTGGATGTGTCTTGTAGCGCCTCCACACACACTCCGCCACACGATGCTCACCAGACTGCTCATCTGCGTACTGACAGTCACCTTAACTGAGGGAGACACAGCCAGGGCTTCAGGCAGCCAGGACAGCCCAGGAGAAGGAATACCTACCTCTGGAACACCAGTACACGTCGGCGAGGTCTCCAGCGACCAGCAGAAGACCACGACAGGTGAGACTACCACAGGCAGGAGGGATGATACAGCTTGGCTTATTCAAGTTATACCAGAGCTCCATCTAAGCGTGTTAGTAAGTATACTGAGGCACAGGTATACATAAATACAATCACCGTATTATCCGGCATATAAGGCGCGCATTTTTTTGTCCCACAAAAAGTCTTTAAAATCAACCTGCGCCTTATATACTGAAGGTCAAGGTCAAGGTCAAGGGTAGGCTTTGTGTTACGCTTTAGCAGTTGAAAATATACAAAATGTGAAAACTCTTGGTACTTTATTGAGGAAACGTTTCGCCACACAGTGGCTTCATCAGTCCATACAAAGGAGAATCTTGAAGAACAGGAGGAGAATGAGGTAATCAGTCCCTCAGGGACTGATTACCTCATTCTCCTCCTGTTCTTCAAGATTCTCCTGTGAAATGGTGATGAAGCCACTGTGTGGCGAAACGTTCCTCAATAAAGATACCCAAGAGTTGCACATGTGTCAATTTAAAACATGTCGGTTCCTGAACCATTCAGCTTTAGCATTTTGTTTACTAATGTTATTTACATTGTGCCCGTGGCCTGGTAGGCAACGCTCTTCTTCACCGCTAGTGTCCTGTGGTTCAGCCCCCGGCCGGTAGAAATAATGGCGTGTTCCTTAACACTTGGGGTCCTGTTCTCTTAACAGCAAGTAGATACGATGTTGTGGACGGGTGTGGGTGGCATCCTGGGGGGACAAGATTGAATGACCACAAGGGAATAGCAGACAGTCCCTCAAAGACAACTGATTTTCTTTTGGGTATCCTGGGGACTAACCCTAAAGGGTTAAAAACCCCAACAAAATTTTATCTCTAAGTGCTTTTTAACTGTTTTCGAACAATTGGGGCGCCTTATTTTCCTAAAAAATACGGTATCATTACTACAGTATCATACATACGGTATCACCCCATAAGTATCATACAGTATCATACATACAGTATCTTACATACGGATCATACATTAGGATCATAACCCACTGACCTGGCTGAGGAGCTCGAACCTACGAACTTTGGAACAAGGTACACAGTACTTTACCAATCTGAACATTAAAAATGGTATAAAAAGACAGGTTTTTAAGTGAGACACATATGCAACATTTTAAAGGTATCTTTTTAAAGAAACGTTTCGCCTACACAGTAGCCTTTTTCATCAAGTACAAAAAGTTGATAGAAGCAGAAGTACTTTGAAGACGAAGTAATCAGCCCATCACCCTTAAAAGTTTTTGAGTGTCAGTCCCTCAGTCTGGAGAAGAGCATGTTCCATAGTATAACAATATTCTTCTGTTCATCAACTTTCTGTACTTGACTGAAAGAACCTACTTTTGTAGGCGAAACGTTTCATAATAAAGATACCTAACTGTTGCATATGTGTCTCACCTAACAACTTTACCAATCTACCCACACTGGACCAATACCTTGGAGTCCATCTTGCGCTAGACTTTGATCCAAGGCAGCCAGCTTTCTGGTAGATTGGTAAAGCACTGCGTACCTTGTCCCAAGGTTCGTAGGTTCGAGTCTCCTTCAGCCAGAGATCAGTGTTTGTGTATATTTCGCCTGCTCCTGCGAATTCCTTTCATATAGTATCATACATACGTTATCATACATATAGTATCATACACTTTCATACATACGTTATCATACATATAGTATCACACAGTATCATACATACGTTATCATACATAGATGTATCATACAGTATTATACAGTATCATACATACGTTATCATACATATAGTATCATACAGTATTATACAGTATCATACATACGTTATCACACATATAGTATCATACATACGGTATCATACATATAGTATCATACATACGTTATCACACATATAGTATCATACATACGTTATCATACATATAGTATCATACAATCGTTATCATACATATAGTATCATACAGTATCATACATACGGTATCATACATATAGTATCATACATACGGTATCATACATACGGTATCATACATATAGTATCATACATACGGTATCATACATATAGTATCATACAGTATCATACAATCGTTATCACACATATAGTATCATACATACGGTATCATACATACAGTATCATACAGTATCATACAATCGTTATCATACATATAGTATCATACAATCGTTATCATACATATAGTATCACACAGTATCATACAGTATCATACTACCTACAATGCTCCAGCATTATACTTCCTACAATGCTCCAGCATTATACTACCTACAATGCTCCAGCATTATACTACCTACAATGCTCCAGCATTATACTACCTACAATGCTCCAGCATTATACTACCTACAATGCTCCAGCATTATACTACCTACAATGCTCCCGCATTATACTAACCTACAATGCTCCCACATTATACTACCTACATACTCCACATTATAAATTCCAAAAATGCTCCACATTATACTACCTACAATCTTCCAGCATTAAAACTACCTACAATGCTAAAGCATTATACTACCTACAATACTCCAGCATTATACCTTCCTACAAAGCTCCACATTATAATACCTACAATGCTCCACATTATACTAAACCTACAATGCTCCAGCATTTTACTACCTACAATCTCCAGCAATATACTACCTACAATGCCCAGCATTATACTACCAAAAAATGCTCCCCAAATTTTACTACCTACAAAGCCCAGCATTATACTACCTACAATGCTCCAGCTTATACTACCTACAATGCTCCACATTATAACTTCCTACAATGCTCCAGCATTTACTCCTACAATGGTTCATCTTATTAAATTTTGCTTTTCACTACAAATGTCCCTGCATTTACTATAAAAGTACATTAATTTACCTACAATGCTCCAGCAATTATCTACCTACAATGCTCCAGCATTATATTACCTACAAAGCTCCAGCATTATACTACCTACAATGCTCCCCGCATATACTTCCTAAATGCTCCAGCATTATACTACCTACAATGCCCAGCATTATACTACCTACAATGCTCCAGCATTATACTACCTACAATGCTCCAGCATTATACTACCTACAATGCTCCAGCATTATACTACCTACAATGCTCCAGCATTATACTACCTACAATGCTCCAGCATTATACTACCTACAATGCTCCAGCATTTATACTTTCCTACAATGCTCCAGCATTATACTTACCTACAATGCTCCAGCATTTATACTACCTACAATGCTCCAGCATAATACTTCCCTACAATGCTCCAGCATTATACTACCTACAATGCTCCAGCATTATACTACCTACAATGCTCCAGCATTATACTACCTACAATGCTCCAGCATTATACTACCTACAATGCCCAGCATTATACTACCTAACAATGCTCCAGCATTAACTACCTACAATGCTCCATCATTATACACCTACTGCTCCACATTAACACCTAAATGCTCCAGCATTATACACCTACATGCTCCAGCATTATACTACCTACAATGCTCCAGCATTATACTACCCAAAGCCCCATTATACTACCTACAATGCTCCAGCATATACTACCTACAATGCTCCAGCATTATACTACCTACAATGGCTCCGCATTTACTACCTACAATGCTCCGCATTATACTCTACAATCTCCAATTAACACCTCAAGCTCCAGCAAAAACCCACCAAAACCAGCAAAAAATTTAAAAAGCAAAAAAACCCCCAAAAAAATTAAAAATCCCCAAATTTTTTTTAAACCCACAATCTCCAAAATACCCAAAATCTCCGCATTTAAAAAAAATTTCCAGCATTTTAAAACCTAAATTCCAATTTAAAACAAAAACCCTAAACTACCCAAAACTGAAAAAAAAAAACCTCATTTCTCCAGCATTATATCCCAATCCAATCATACAACTCCATTTTTCCCCGCCCAAAAATTTAACCTACAATCTCAACATTTAAACCCACAAGCCCAGTTTAAAATTTTAATTTAAAAAATGCCCACAAACCCTTTAAAGCACCCCAAAAACCCAAAATCCATTTTACCAAAACCAGTTTTTTCCCTTTTTCCCCAAACCACCCAGGGTAAAAAACCCCCACCCAATGCCCACTTTTCTCCAAATGCCCGCATTTAAATACCTAAATGCCCAGCATTATACTCCACATTTCCAGCTTTCTCCAATGTCCACATTATACACCTAAACTCCCAGAAACTACAATTCCCCCCTTTTAAACCCCCAATCTCCAGCTTTTATAACCCAATGCTCCATTATCTTAAAAATCCCAAAAATTCCCCCACCCACATTTAAACCAAAATTTCCCAGCTTTTTTTCTCCCAAGTCAGTTTTATAAGACTTTTAAACCTAAACTCCAGCATAACCCCTACAATGCCCCATTAACCCCCCAAAAAAAAACCCCTTAACTCCAAATTCCCAATTTTTTAAACCATTCTCCCGCTTATCCCACAAGTCCCCGCATTTAAATAACGCCCGAAAATTAAAAACTAATTTTAATTTCCCAATAAACCTACAAACCTAATTTTACTCCACAAACTCCCCATTTTACCCAAATTCCCAAATACTTCAAATGCTCCCCTTTCTCCACAAAATTTAAATAAACTCAAATTTTTTCCTACAATCTCCAGCAAAAACCCCATTACATAATGAAAAAAAAAAAAAAAAAAAATCCTACACCCCTTTTTACCCTACAAAGCTCCAGCATAACTACCTACAATGCCCACATTACCCCACAACTCCCATTTTACCCCACAATCCCATTTTTTTCTCTACAATCCCGCATTTCCCACAAAAAGGTTTTTATTTATCCTACAATGCTCCAGCATAACCCAACAATGCCCGCATTAAAACCCACAAAGCCCAATTTTTTTAAAATGCTCCGCTTTTCCCTACAATCTCCCCATTAAAACCCCAACCCCCATTTTATCCCCAATGCTCCCAAATTAAAACCACAATTTCCCCCCAAAAATGCCCCATAAAAAAGCCCGGGGGGGAAATAAAAAATTTCCCAAAAAACACCCTCCCAAACTC